TACTTCTAATTATGGCAATTCTCTAGCCTCTGCCTTCTGAATGATTGGGACATCAGGCTTCTTTAATATTAGAAAATATAATTTTATTATTTCTAATTAGGCTGATCACATGTAGATACATATGTGGTTTTTATCAATTAATAATGAGGTATTTTTATGCTTCTCCATAAATGAAGGGGTTACAGAAAGCCACAGGGCTATCATTGTATCATATGTTCAGGCTCATATTTTACTCACATGCTTTTCAGTGGTCCCAATGTGCTGTCAAACAAGTGCCAACTAACTATTAAATTTAACAGGTTGTCAAAAGTTGTTAAAGTAAAGAAGCTCAATCGAAGGACTGATTTATGCTCATTTACAATCTCTAGTACCCCTTGTGGGGATGAATTAACTTTGGAAGATATGATAGCACCCAAAAGAGCAATTCTAATTGCTTTTTCAGTTCCCATTTAAGAAGTTGCACTAATTATTTCTTCTGGTTGTTGTGACAATATTCCTAACAAAAGCAACTTAAGGAAAGAGAAGAGTATTATGAGCCACAGTTTAAAGTACAACCAATCATGGTGTGAAAGTCATGGCAGTAGCAACAGGTATTGATAGAGCATGAGGAACATGGTGCATCTGATCACAGTGTCTTGTGTTCAAAGCCACTGAAATTTTCAATGAATAAGCTGAATGTAACCAGATTTTTTTCCAGAATATAACACAAATGGGCTCAATCTATGTTTCTAAGAATGCCCTTGTTCCTTTTTGAAACATGAGAAAAAATTTTTTTATTGTCTTCAGTTCTGTTAAGATCTGTTTACAGTTGTCTAGGAGCTTTCTGGCCTATGGCTGTAAACTCTTCTACATTCCTTCCACAAAGTAGAACCAATGGCCCATGAAAACCATGCTCAGGCTTCTCACAGTAATGACTTTATTTCCTGTTTCATTTTCTTTTTTCCCCCTCCCTTCTTTCCTCCCTTCTTCCTTCCTTCCTTCATTCCTACCTTCCTTCCTTCCTTTCTTTCTTTCCATCTGGTCAATGCATCCTGATGGCTAGTGCAGCTCCTACTAAGGTGGCAGGTTCATGAGGTCCTGTTCACATGAAGTCAGGAAGCAGTGAGAGGTGAGGATGGTTTCCAGTTCATTTTCTCCTTTTCATTTAGTCTGGAACCCTATCCCTTGGTGCAATGCTGCCCAGGTTCGGGTGAACTGCCCAGAGATTAGTACAACCAACTTGATAATGCAGGTTGACTAGCACAGAGGGACAATCTATTTACTTGGCTGTTTATAGCTATTATTTATTCAATTTTTCTTAGTGATATACCCATGGCAAATATTTGCCATTCCTACACAAAAAGATAAGCATAGGAATAGGCTTCATTTTATCTTCTAATGGTTCAGTATATGTTGGTAAGATTAAATGTTTAGGTTAATCCAAATTCTAGTTACACCCAGGAAGAAGTAATTTGACTTTTAATATTAAATCTTTCCAAGATGCTGAAGTTCCAGCAATGTAACTTTTGTTGAGATGAAACATTTGCATTTTTAATTTTTCCTAGATCTGTATTAAGAATTTTTTTTACTTGAAAACCATAGGACTATCAATGAAGATAATCATCATAAATTTTATGAAATATATAGGCTAGATAGGAAAATGAGGTTGCAAAGTAATATGCTAATTAGTGATGAGGGTTATACATTATTAAATCATCCTTTATTTGCGATAACATCTTATATCATTCTTTGACCTGGAATGCATTGCTATAAAGAATATGCAGCTATATTATAAACTGTTGCCTCTTTTTCACTAGTTGCAAATTTGTATAGTAGGTTACAGTACTGAATACTGTAGGCAATTATAACACAGTGATGTGTTTTTATATATTTAAACATACACACACACACACATAATTTCAAGAAGAGGAAAAATGTTCTGACAGTATTGGATATAGTGGTCTTCTAGGTTTATTATTATCTTATGTGACAACTATCACAAATGTTGCCTGTGATTGACTGAAATGTTTTAGCACATGAGTGTGATTGACTCAAGATGTACAAGCTGACTTAATGATAATCAGTTTTCAGGAATATTTAAAGAAATAATTTTTGTTTCTTGCCTTTGACACAAAGATTAGAGGATAATATTATTTAATCATAAGTGTGTAGAATTTCACATTACAGTTATAAATGATATTTGGGCATTATATTAAGATGAATTAAATTGTAGTCATGTCTGTGTGTGTGTGTGTGTGTGTGTGTATGTGCCTGAATGTGTAGACATACATAAAAACAACAGAGAAAAAAATGCCATTGGGGACATTGGGAGAGGGCAGAGAATGACCTTAATTAGGCATCTATAGGCAATGTCTGTCTTCAAAATGCCTAGTCATTATGGGACAAGGATTTTGCACTCTTCTCTTTCCCCCTATTGGTTACATACACAGACAGCGTAAGAGTTGTGGAAACTATCTTTTTACCTCAGCTGATCTGTTTTTTATCATCTGTTCTCACATTTAGAATATTCTTCCCAGTGTTTCATAAACAGATATTTACCATGAAACAATGAATAAACTGTATATCAAATGAAAAATTTTAAATTGTTCATAAAATGTGTATTTAAAATTGCATTCTGGAAGATTATTCATTAGGGTATGCATCAAATATGAGAGAAAAGGAATAAAGGTGAACAAAAAGATATAGTTTTCTCAGGTTCTGACATGACTTGTAACGCATTGCAAAGAGGAGTTGCAGTTCAAATTGTCTGACAGCAAAGATACACAGTCTTGCTCATCCTCACAATGCAAGAAAAGTCAATTTTTTATAAGTTTGTTGAGTACTTACTAGATGCCAGGTCCTTTCTAGGTCCAGGTGATATACTGAAAACATGAAAAAAATAAAAAATTATAACTGATGAATTTGTGTGTGTGTGTGTATGTGTGTGAAAGTAGGAGAAGACAGACACATGATATATTGGAAATATTTTAATGATCATAAAGCAAATGCTTTCAAACAAAGGGAAACTGACATTTAAGAATGAGTAATAATTTGACAGCCGTATTGTGGGGTGTTGTGTGACTTGTCCTGCAGAGACCTAAACAAATACCTATTCATCCCAAATAAAGTACTAATAATAAACCAAAAACATTCTGCTCAAGCCTAGCATGATTAACTGATAAATTTATTGGGGTTCCTTTGGGCATATAGTTAAGGAGCTTCTTCACAGGAGCATGGGTGCAGATGCTTTGTAAAAAAAAAAAAATGTGTTATGCAGCTTGGCACACCTCTAATTCCAGCACTCATTAGGGAAAGACTGGAGGATCTCTGTAAGTTTGAGGCTAGTCTAGTCTACAAAACAAGTTCCAGGATGTACACCAAAGCTATGTCTCTAAAGAAAAACATGTTATGCTTATTTAATGTCCTTTTGTAACATGGATGGTACTGGTTATGCATGAGGTAGTTAAAAGTTACCTTATTTATTTATTTATTTATTTATTTATTTATTTTACATCCTGACTGTGGCTTCTGCTCCCTTCTCACCTCCCATTTCATTCCTGCACTTCCTCTCTGACTCCTCCATCAACTCTCTGGTTAAAAGGGGCAGGCCTTCCATGCTTATCAACAAAGCATGACACATCAAGTTGCTGTAAGACCTCTTTCTGTACCAAGGATGGACAAGGCCACCCAGTGTGAGGAATAGGGACACAAAATCCATCCAAAATATTAGAGACAGTCCCTGCACCCACTTCTAGGAGTCTCACAAATAGACAAAGTTACACATCTCTTAGATATATTAGAGGACCCAGGTTGGTCACATGCAAGCCCCTTTGTATATGTAGACTCCATGAGCTTCCATAAGCCCAGGCCAGTTGTCCTGTGGGTTTTTTGTTTTTTTTTTTTTTTTTTTTTTTTTGATGTTCCTGATGACTCTGACTTGTGTATTTCTTCTTCCCACTCTTCAGGAGGATCCCCAGAGCTTGGCCTAATGTTTGGCTATGTGTCTCTGCATCTATTTTAATCAGTGATTGGATATAGTAGGCTATCTCATGACAATTAGGATAGTCTCCAATCATGTTTTTCTTTCTGAGTCTGAGTTAATTCACTTAGGTTAACTTTTTCTAGTTCTATCCATTTGCCCTCAAATTTGATGATGCCATTTTTTTTAACAGCTGAATAATATTCCATTATTTAAATGTCCAATTTTCTTTATCTTTTCTTCAACTGAAGGACATCTTTGTTATTACAAAAAAAATATTCCCTAGAGTGATATTATTCAGTCTTGAGGTAGATTGATTCCAAATTTACTGTATCTCGGTTTCAGTCTTTGATCCATCCATCTCAACTTGACTTTTGAGCAGGGTGATAGATATAACATGATTAAAAGGAGATAATGTTTTTGTGACAATGGTACATTGTATCTTCTCTGATCCATCCAAAATATAGAGTACTATAAATATCAAATGACATTAATGGAAATCCTCTGTACATCAATGTTTGAGGGAATGGCATTTTAAATAATACTGACTCAATAGGCCTCATCCACTTAAGGTTTGCTGAACTGTATTGAGCTAGTGCCATATACTAGTATCTTATGAACTTCTAACAAGGTTTTAACAGTGAGCTGAAATTGTATAGGGTTGTAATGATTTATCCTTAAAGAAGAGTTAAACCTTATAAGTATATTAACTATTGTATTATGTACAAATATTTAGAGTAGTAGTCATGGTTAATTTACCTTACCTTTATTAGTATACCTTTTATTGCATGTTCCCAAAGAGATTTATTTTTAATGCAAGCCTTACATTTTTATCTTGAGAGTGATTTTAAAAAATACCAGTGTTTTGTTATTAACAGAGGCTAATGTTGATCGGGAGGTCTAACTATTAATATCTACATACCAGAGAGCTCTGATTCAATGTGTAAGAATTTCTTAATAATATTGAAGATTTTTAAAAATATATTTCCTTATCGTATAAAGTGTTTTCTCTTATTTTCAAAATTTTAACTTACACAGGTGAAATCAATAAAGATGTTTAAGTCCTTGTCCACTGTTTTGATTCTTGGATTCATCTTCCTGGAGTCTGAAGGAAGGCCAACAAAAGAATCAGGATATGGCGTTAAATCCTACCAACCTCTTACAAGATTACGACACAAGGTATGGCCTAGTTGTCAATCTACTCAAGTGGCATCTAGTCTATTTGTGAACTAAGAGATTAGATGTCAGTTTACTATTCATTTAAGGACATTTATTTCCAAACATAATTTAAATAATGTTTATTTGGTGGTGCATGCTTTTAATCTCAGCACTCAGGAGAAAGAGGCAGGTGGATCTCTGTGAGTTCCAGGCCAGCCTGGTCTACAGAGCTGGTTCCAGGATAGGCTCCAAAACAACACAGAGAAACCCTGTCTCGAAAAATAAACAACAACAAAAATGGGAAATATCAGCAACTGAGAAATTATAGTTTGGTGAATGAAATATTATCTTGATAATGAATAGATGTAGTATGGTTATAAAAACATACTGCAATAGGTAGGATCTGGGGAGAGAGAGATGAATAGTTAAGAACACATATGGTTGCTACAAAGAAACTGAGTTGGTTCACAGTTCATCTGTCATCTCACAGCCACTTTTCACTCCATCTTCAGGGGATCTTGCTCCTCTTCTGGATTCTATGGCAGTTGCACGTACATGCACAAAAAACAACAAGGTCATACACATGTGCATGTCACTAAAAAATACAATTACTCATTTAAAATTAATGTTAAAATTTCTCCCAAGTATTAGTAATGATTTATATACCAAGAGTTAAGACTGAGACAGTTAATTTCTAATATTTTCACACATATCTTAGAGTAGTGATGTAAGGTGAAAACAATGTATTGTTTTCTATAAATCTCTACAATTATACACACACACACATACACATTCATATATATATATATATATATATATATATATATATATATATGTTGGCAAAATTCAGCTTGAATAGAAATTATTGGATAGTTTCATATAATCTTTAAATATCAGGTTCCTTGATATAAAAAAGTGTTTTGGGACAAATACTTTTTCATGTTCAAGTTTTTCAAGAGCAAAATAAATAAGTTTATCTTACAATGCACATAGCCAGCAAATATTAACTTTGGTTTGCTTCCTTGCTTTAAAATGTATGTTTTGAGGTCAGAAAGTAACCATACCTGTTCTGTGTGCACATAAAACACTGTTGAGGTAAAACTTTGGTAGAGAATTTATGGGTAAAGTGATCAATTATATCCCATCGGTTATCTGCAAAATACAAGACAAAATATTTATGCATCAGTAAGAACATTTATTAGAATATTTTCCAGTTAAATTTACATGTTAAAATATTGATTTACTTATCTATACAGCTTAACATGTTTTAAAGAAAAGATATAATTAATAGGAATAAGCTTGAGAAGAACATTCATGTTCCAATATAATTATGTTTTAATATTTTTATTTTATGCTTATTTCTAAATCAGTGAAAATGATATGTGATTATTGATATTAAAAAACAGGGCATAGATTGTCATGAAAACCCTACACTTTTAAATATCTTTGTTTGACTCTAAGATTAAGCTATATATAAAATATTCCTAGTGAGGGTTTGTATGTGTGTAAGCCTGTTTGTGCTCAGGTGGTATGTGTGTGAAAGTGATTATTTAAAAGAGTGAAAATAAACTACAAACTAGTAACCTGCAAAGGAAGACAGTAGTTAGTTTCATAGTGTCTACTTCAGTGCCTGATTCTAGGTTCCAGTCCTGGTTTCTTATCCTGAGTCCTCACAATGAGCAAGGTGCAATTAATTTTGGTCTTGCTGCTAATCATATTCAAGAAAGCAAACTGAGACAACCTACATATTCAGTACTTTTGAAACAAACAAAAATGAACTAATTTCTCAGATCATATTGAAATGTTACAGATAGGAACAAATATACACATATTTCATCATATCCAGCTTTATGTATCAAAAATGTGATTAAAATTCATTTATCTATGTCTTGCATTAAAATGAGTAACAATAAACTTGCCATACTAATTATAGAAATCTTAATTATACTCTACAAATATATGTCTGAGAGAGAGCTGATTGTGTGTTTTACTAATGTGTTTATCCTACTACATTATGCAACATCATCTGAGGCAATTCATTAGCACTCAGGAACTGTAAATGCAATCACTAAATCCAAATCCCACAAAGTTCTGCTTTTATTTATTTATTTTTTAATGTTTTTAAACCTTTGATATTGTGTATTCTTTCACAAGCCACTTTCTTATACCTTTTTAATTAATTGTGATATAGTCTGGGACACAGGACTGCACTTTCTGCTTGTATCAGTGACAATACTATAACTCAGAGAGGAGGATTAAAGGAGCTTTTCTGAAAGAAAGAGAATGTAGCAGCCATTATCAAAAAGACAGGAAAAGTCAGAAGATGGGATAGAGGATGGGGAAATGGACCCTAAAATTAAAGACAATGATCATAAAGCAGTATGACACAGACCTGAGAGAAATATCTGCTTTTTAGACTGATGGCACCATTCCCCCACAAACAAATAACTGTATTTTCATATTGTTTTCTGAAATAAGTGTGTAATGTTAGTGGTTATAGCCAGGTTCTATGGTAGCCTTCTAGCAGGTAGCCTCACTAAGAACAATAGAAATAACTTGGTTTATGGCTTTGTTATAAAAAAAAAATCTGCATTATAGTCAGAGTTCAATAATGATAAACTACCATGTTCATTGTGAAGAATTTCTAAATTTTGATACTTTAGTTCCTCTTGAGAATTAGTGCAATTGAGTACCATAGAGATATGTGTGTCACAAGATATTTATTATATAGCTACCACTCTACTTGATTCTCTGTTAAGTCTTTTAATTTTCTTATTGCTTCTGTTCTTTATTAGATATTATTAACTTCATTCTCTATGTTTGATCCTTTAAATTAATGGACCCTCTCATGGAAGAAATGGACTTATTGTGATTTTGTAGATAAGGGAATAGGATGTCATGGATGTTTAGAATCTGTTTATTGTAATGCCACCCAAAATTACAGATTAGGATTTAAAATAGAGTCTAAGTAATTTGATATAGATTTTTAGAAACTTAGTGTTTTCATAGGTATTTGAACTCTTTGCCATGTGTTTACAATTTATTATCCTTACAGTTTTTACATAATTTGGATTAATGTTTATTCCTTTTATTTATAATGTGTAACTGTTTTGGCTACATGAAATGTATGTTTATCACTTGCCTATGTGTTAACAGTGGTCAGAAGAGGGCATTGAAACCCCCAGAATTGGAAATACAGATTATTATAAGCCACTTTGTAGGCACTGGGAATAGAATCTGAGTTTCCCATGAAAGCAACAAGTCATTTTATCTGCTGAAATGTCTCTACACCTCCCAGAATAGCTGATCTCTTTATGGTCAGGTATTTAACTGTGTTTCCTTCCCTTACTAGGTAACTCTTTCCTCTACCACTTTATTTTTTCCTTTCTTTTCTTTCTTCTCACTGCCCAAGTCTCCTTGTATGGTCAGCATCTGCATTACAATGTCTGGCTATATGAGAATGGTGAGAATTTAGATGCAGCTGAACACTACTTCAAGTATATTTGCCTGTTAGCCTTTCTTCTGGTTGTCCTCCAGTATCATGTCTACTTCTTTAAATTAATCTCCTTAGTAAATTTCTCATTTATAGTACCATGATAGTTTACAATTTCCATGACAACCTTGAAAATTTCTAAACTGTCAAGCAGGAAGAGGAAGACAGAATCATTGGAGTCACATTGACCCTCTCCTAGAAATGTTAGGAATATTCAACACTTAAAAACCTTGTGATCTTCTCATTGCATGACTCTTTAATCTTTTGGTAGTATGGGGAGAAGAACTCCCAGTTCTGGCCTTTTATCGACCAATAAATAAAGTTTTATTTCCTTGCTTAATATCCTCTCTGTGACCACATAACCTCTTTTAGCCTTTTTAAGAGAGAAGCTTGTCTTGGAGAAAACAGAGAAACATTATGGCCAGTGAGTTAGGAACATATGTATATGAAACATAATTGTCTGAAAACTTTCTAATACCTAAAAAATATGCCAGAACCTCCCTTTCCCCTATACCATGACAAATTTTAACCATTTAATATTCCAGTCTGTTCAAAAAGAAGAAGAAGAAAAAAAAGAACACGATGAATAATATGTCCTGTTAGGGTACCATAGAACAAGGAATGGAGGAAAGCATTTTATTATGTTAAATTACTAAATTTTTGATTTGTTTGTCATTATACTGAGCTCCCAGCTTCATTTATTTATTTATTTATTTATTTATTTATTTATTTATTTATCTTATTTTAGATATCCATCCCATTTCCCTCTTCCTCTCTCCCTCCCTCCCATACCATCCCCCCCAACTACCCTCCTAACCTTCCCCCTCTCACTTCCCAGATGGCTAGGATGTTGAGCACTTTCTTAAGTGTCTTTCAGCCCTTTTGATTTCCTCTATTTAGAATTCTCCCTTCAGTTCAGTACCCCATTTTTTAATAGGGTTATTTGGTGTTTTGTTGACTAGTTTCTTGAGTTCTTTGGAGATCAGTCCTCAGTCAGATGTAGGATTGTTGAAGATCTTTTCCCAGTCTATGGGCTGCCATTTGGTCTTGTCCACTGTGTCCTTTGCCTTACAGAAGCTTCTCAGTTTGAGGAGGTCCCATTTATTAATTGTCGATCTCAGTGCTACTGGAGTTATGTTCAGGAAGCAGTCTCCTGTACCAATTTGTTCAAGGATGCCTCTCATTTTCTCTTCTAAGAGGTTCAGGGTGGCTGGATTTATGTTGAGGTCTTTGATCCATTTGGACTTGAGTTTTGTGCATGGCGATAGATATGGGTCTATCTTCAGTCTTCTACACACCATTATCCAGTTGTTCCAGCAGCATTTGTTGAAGATGCTTTCCTCCTTACATTGTATACTTTTATCTGTTTTGTTAAAAATCAGGTGTTCTTAAGTGTTGGGTTAATGTCAGAATTTTCGTTTCTCCCAGTTTCTTTCCATAGATAAACACAAACCTAGAACTCCTCCTTGTGCCTAGTACATATCATTCCTGTGTGACCTTTTTTTCCTGTTCTTTTTAAGCTCCTTGT